TGCAGCCGTCATTGTTGTTTGGCGGGTCCGGGCTGGGGATTCCAACCTGCCACCTTAGGTGTACGTGGCTGGCGCCTTAGCCGGTTGAGCTATAGGAGCTGAGCCTAAATCCTCAGAATCTTACTGGGACCAGTGTTTATTATAAGAATAGTAACAAGAACAATAACTAGCTAATATTTTAGTAGAAAGGCAGGTTGAACACAGCCAGAGAATCAGCCTTTTTTTTTTTTAAGACAGGGTCTTGCTCTGTTGTCCAGGCTGGAGTATAGTGGTATCATCATAGTTCAGTATAACCTTAAATTCTTGGGTTCTGGGGTGGCGCCTGTGGCTCAAAGGAGTAAGGCACCGGCGCCATATGCCAGAGGTGGTGGGTTCCAGCCCAGCCGTGGCCAAAAACTGCAAAAAAAAAAAAAAAAATCTAGCAAAAAAAAGTATAGCAAGCCATCCATCAGCCTCAGTTTCCTGCCTCCCAAAGTGCTAGGATTACAGGCCTGAGCCACCTTGCCTGGCTAGAACCAGCCTTGATGCTCGTCATTTCACCTATCTGACTCTCTTTTCTCATCTGAAAAATGGGCTTCATAACCCGGGCCTCAAGGATCAGTTGAACTGATGGACATTGAAAAGCTCAGCTCCCGGCTCGGCACCTGTGGCTCAAGTGGCTAAGGCACCAGCCACATACACCTAAGGTGGCGTGTTCGAATCCAACCTGGGCCCACCAAAACAACAATGACGGCTACAACCAAAAAAAAACCCAGCTGGGCGTTGTGGCAGGCGCCTGTGGTCCCAGCTACTCCGGAGGCTGAGGCAGGACACTCGCTTGAGTCCAGGAGTTGGAGGTTGCTGTGAGCTGTGATGCCACAGCACTCTACCCAGGGGGATAGCTTGAGGCTCTGTCTCAAAAAAAAAGAAAAGAAAAGCTCAGCCCCTTTTGCTAGTCTTGGTAGATACTTTCATATGTGTTAGAATCAAGTGTTTTGAGCCCTTATTAGGGGGACTGTCTCAACAAGCCCCATCAGGTGTGTGGGCCCATTGCTTTTCAGATAAGAACTGCAGAAAGGGAAAGAGACCCATTGAAGATCACACTGGGACAATGACTTTCAAAAATCAAGCCTGAACAACTCAGGCTTGAGTCTCTTCATGTTCCTACAATATGTTCAATATAAGCTATAGTCCCATTTCCAATTAAAATAATATCTGGTTGTTATTTATTTTTTAAAAGCATAAACCACATAAATGCAAGGCATATATGCAAATCACAATATTTGCGACCCATGTTTTGGCATTTCTTTCTTTTTTTTTTTAACTTTTTATTTATTTATTTTGGCAGTTTTTGGCTGGGGCCAGGTTTGAACCCGCCACCTCTGGTATACAGAGCCTGGCACCCTACTCCATAAGCCACACGTGCCGCCCCGTTTTGACATTTCTTAGTTTAGAAAATCTAATCAGAGCCTAGAAAGATGGAAATGGCCACCTCCACTTTTCAGAGGTCCTTGGTCAGGTCCTGTGTGACCTGGTTCTGAGATCTCAGACTGGTCACACAGGGAGCCACAGGTTTTAAGCCAAGTGGAAACCAATCAAACTCTGTGGAAAGGTCTGACTCTGTCCTGGAGGCTGAGGGGTCATTAAGCTCTGACTTCTGGAGGCACCACCCCACTCCTCAGGGGCCAAGGATGCTTCACACACAAATACCAACCTTACACTTGCCAGTCTGAGTCATCTCGACCTGAGAGCTGGCTTGATTAGAGGTGAGGTGCCACTGGATCCCCCTACAAGGTATCCCCGGATCCAAAGCCTAGCCCTAGAACTTTCTTCATGCCAGTCACTCTTACTGAGTACCAGGACCTGCTACCAGTGAGGGTTCCCTGCCTCCCAGGTCACACACAGCAGGGCTCCCAGTGGCAGGCAGGCATCAGCCCC